AGCTGGGAATCTGGTAGGAGAAGGAATCTTAAAGCCATACAGAAGAACAAATAGCATTTGTTGCCATAACAAAACCAGGTCTTGGTCCTGAGTGGGCCTTTAAGGGCCTACAATTTACATTCGTGCTCCTCCCTCTCAGTGGGGCAGGCTTTGGCAGAGCTATCTGTGCAAAAGGAAAGAAGGTCAGGGGACTCCTTGTATTGAAGGCCTTGCTTGAAATGAAGGAGTTGGCTTCTGAGATTAATGTTCAGAGTGAACCCCTGCTATACTTAATTCTCTTTTCTGTGAACTCAGTACATTTTTAAAATTCAGTTATGAGTCCCCTACAGTGTGGCATGAAAACTGCCAAGCCAGCCTCCCCTCTAATAGATTTCTGAATGGCCTTCCTCAGCCCATGGGTGGAGGTCCGTGTTCCGGCTTGGCCGCTGCGTCTAATCCTCGGATTAGTGCGCCCTGGAATAATGTGGCTTGAATTAGCACATATTAGATCCAGGGGGATTTAATATAAAAGTTGAAAATGAAAAGATTTTTTAGAAAAGCCTGCCATGGGTGTGCCTCCCCAGGGGGGAAAGGGAGGCCGTGGGGATCAGAGGATTCTCTGGGTCAAGTTGCATGTTCTGGACTAAATTAGGATTAAATTAATTTTGGAAAGTTTTCTATTGGGAAAACTATCACCAGTCTCAATGGAAAGCTTGGCCCAGATGTGGGATTTGATTCCATCCAGCAATAACTGTTGTGTTTTAGGTACAGTCCAGAGGAATGAAGGAGGTAGAAAGCTAAATCCCCGAGTGAAAGTTGTCAGTTTACCCTGTAAAGCAGCCCCTAAGAGCTCAGTTCCACGACCAAGCTCAGTTACTTGCCGTGACCACACCTATGTCAGACAGCACTGCTTCCAGAGGTAATAGCAACAGTGACACCAGCAGTCACACAGCAGTCACCATGTGCCCGGCACTGTGCTAAGCCCTATGAGGTCCTTTGCTATACGGTCTACTTAGGCCTCTTGTGTACCATCTTAGCGTACAGTAAAAGGTCATCTCTTTCTTTCTTTCTTTCTTTCTTTCTTTCTTTTTTGGTACTAGGGATTGAATCCAGGGCCTCCACATTAAATTCCACCCCACTCTCTTTTTTCCCCTGTCTCTTTTTATTTTTATTTTGAGACAGAGCCTTGGTAACTTGCCAAACTGTCCAGGTTAGGCTCTATCTTGTACTCCTCTTGCCTCAGCCTCCCAAAGTGCTGGAATTACAAGTGTGTATCACCCTGCCCAACTAAACTGATTTTGTCTCTTTGGATTTTTATTCATTCATTTTTTTGTTTTTTAAAAGTCTGAGGCTTGCCTCTTTGGATGAGACTGTCTTGAAAGAGTATTATGGAGGTAAGATTTAAATATGCAAAGAGAAGTGTTTTTTTTCTGAGTCATAGAGTAGGTTTTTTCCCAGGTACAAAAGGAAATGTCATTTCCTGAGTATCTTATACTTGCCAGGAATCACGCTGAGAATTTGCTTTTCATTTAACTCATAGAAAGCTCAGAGTGGCTCCACAGTTTGTCTAGCATCACACAGCTGAGAGGTAACATTAAGCTTCGGAGTCAGATCTGTGAGGAAGCAGTCATTATGTTTTTGTATTTACTCCAGGATACGGCTTCACAGGCAGAAGAAAAAGAAGAAAGCCAAGAGCAGAAACCAGGGTTCTGGAAAGCTAAAGCAAACCAGGAGAAAGAAAGGAGTTTGCCTGCAAATTAAAATCATCATCATCATCATCATCATCAAGGTTAGGTTAAGGGCAGCCATGAAAAAAAAAATAATAAAACTTACATTTCTTTGCAATTTAAGTGCACAACACTTTTTAAAAAGTCTGTCTCAAGCAGGCTGTGTGCTTGTGATCTCAGCACTGAGAGAGGCTGAGGCAGGAGGGCCAGAAGTTTAAATCCTATCTAGGCATCCTATCTGCCTCAAAATAAAAAAATTAAAAGAGGATGTAGTTCCATGTGAAGGCACTGGATTCAATACCTAACACCTCAAGCTACATAAATACATAAAAATCTTAATTAACTATGGCCATGCTCCTATAGTACCAACTACTCAAGAGGCTGCTGCAGAAGGACCACTTGAGTGTACAAGTTCAAGACCAGCCTAGGCAATGTAACAGGTCCCTATTTTTAAAAAATCTGGTTTATCTTTGCCATATTCCTGGAAAGGGTAGTGGAAAGTGGGCAGAAGTATTCCCACTTTGAAGCTCTCAGTGGGCAAGGCTGGAAAAGACGGAGCAGAAGTGCAACCTTTGAAAGAAAGTAACTGGCTCAGAACACTAGGTGTGGCATCCTGGAGCCTGGGCCTCCTCAAGAACCCTGGCTCCTGGCCCGCTCACCTGGAGTCACTGAGCCCCACACACTCATTCTGGGCCAGCCCCTACCTCTGAGCTGCATCCCCTGCCTGCTCACCTTTATTTTTTTTTTCTGATCCATTATTCCCCAGGCTTTGGCCTAATGTGCATGCCCTGTTGATAAACTTGTTCTAAGGAGGAAAAACCTGGGAATGTGAGAATATGCCCCTCTAGCTCAGAGGGTTTCTGATAGGAAGTCTCTTCAGGCCACAAGCTAGACACATCTGGAAAGGAAGGGAAAAATCAGAGCCCTCATTCATGCCTGGTAGCGTCAAGCATTAGGTGCCAGATCTTCAAGGGTTCCCATCGCTTACTACACACTGGCTTGGATGGATACGGAATCTAAACCCCAGGATATGACGAATTGGTCTGGGTTACATTTTGCTGCATTGGATGATAAAAGATCAGGATCTAGAAATACATTTTACAATTCTTGGCTGTTTTTTTTTTTTTTTTTTTTTTTGGTACCAGGAATTGAACTCATGACCTTGTGCTTGCGAGGCAGATGCTTATGCCTGCTGAACTAAATCCCCAGTCCCTTTGGCTGGTTTTAAGGAGTCACTTTTCCTAAAGGTGACAAGTGATGCTTCTATACTGAAGCCACACCTGACACTCAATAATAAAGGACTCTCTACGTGGATGACTTAACTCCTGTGATCTCAAGGTCTCTATCTGCAAAATGGGGATAAAAAAGCACATAGGATTGATCTGTAGGGAACATATAATATAAGGTAGGGTGGGGGAAAGCGTTCCCTGAGGCACAAAGGGCGTCTTTAATGTAAAATGATGATTTCCTCATTAAAATGTGAATAAAGGGTGGAGATGCTGATTACATTTGTTAGCCTTCCATAATCACCGCTTCATATTTATAAGGGTTTTAAAATTATTTACCCATTTCGCATTGGTTTTCAAATGGCATTCGTCGTGATTTGCTCAGCACTGGTTTCTAATTGAATAGGGTAAGTAACTGCCAGGGTTAGACAGCAGGTCAGAAGCCTAAGTCCAAATCAGAATTAAGCACACGCCTGACTTTTCTTCCTACTGGCAGACTTCATGGAATGTAGAGCAATTTTATCTCCATGTGGCTTGTCACTCTTGCTAACTTTTTAAAAGATGAAAATCAGTTGTACCCCCCTTTCCTAAGCCGTTATTTTCCATTGTATTTGAGGCTGTTCACAGAAGTGTAAACTTCACCCAAACCCTGTCGGTAGAATTCCAGAAACAGAGCAGGGACTGAGTGGAGCCGGCGAGCTGAGGAGTGGAGCGCTGGGTCTGGAACCCACCTCGAGGTCCGACTCCACCTCTCTCGTAAAGCACAACACGCCAACACATTAAAAACAACAACAATAATAATAACAGCAATGGCCGCTAACCCCAAGTGCCGGGTCATTCAATCAGGAGAAAAGCATTTTTGGAACATTCCTTCACTAAAGTAGTTGAATGAGAAACTACTTTTGTTTTCCCCTTTTCTTTTCCTCAGTTGAATGACACTGCAACCCGAAATCACAACTGTGTTGTAGGTTCCTGGTGGTGCCCGCTTCCTCTTCTAGTTTGTTTAGTCACCGACTTGATTCCTGCAGCCACTGGGCGCTGAACACAGGCTCGGCGCGCCATTGCACCGCGGGAGCGCCGCAGCTCGGGGTAAACAGGTAAGCGGGCGGCGGGGCAGGGTTTCGGGGCAGGGGAGCTGGGGTCGGAGCTGCAGTCAGCTCCCCGGAGGCCGAGCAGGCCCGGAGAGGGCTGGGCTGCCGTGGCCAACTGCAGTGTTTTTGTTCCCTTTCTAGAAACCAGCTGGAACACCGGGTCGGAGCGCACTCGGATGAGCCACTTGGAGGGAGCGGCGCCCGGGCCCCAGGCCCCGCAGTGAAGGCCCCGCAGAGGTCAGGGCCGGGCCGCGTGACGCGCCCGCTGCGCTCGCCCCGGCCCTGCGCGGCCCAGGTGAGGCCCGGGAGGGGGGCGCGTCCTCGGCTCGCCGCGGTCCCACCTGCCCGGCCACCGCTCCCCCGGACTCGGACGGCGGCGGCTGGGGCGGCCCGGCCCGGGGTCCACAGCGGCTCCTTCCGTTCCGCCGCCGGGCGCAGGCTGGGGTTGTGCCCAGAGAGGCCGGACGCGCGCGCCCAGGTGGAACAGGTGCCACTCCTGGGGTCCCCCTCCCCGACGCCTGGAACGGACGTGACCTCCAGCGGAGGGAGGGGGCAGGGAGTCCATCTGATGAGGTCCCCACATCTTTCCTCAAGGCCGATTTTTTTTCCCCCCTTCATTTCAAATTTATTTAACCTTCAGCGGAGGCATCTGCGCCCCTAAAACAACAGGAATGCTGCACTGGCCCTTCGCCAGCCGAGTCTCGGCGAGCCGGATAAAATTTCAGTGCAGATTTACGGGAAGCTGCCGGTGTTGGGAGTAAAAATCTGGTTTGGTGAGTTTAAGGGAAGGGAGTAGACGAGACAACCTTGCTACTGTGCGCGAATGGCCGGGCGGGAGGGCGGCGCAGCGCGAGGGAGGAGCGGAAGGAGCGCGCGGCGCGGGGCGCGCCCGCCTGCCCGGGAGCTCGGCGGGTGACGGCTCCCGCGCCCCACTCGGGACCGCGGCGCCCGGGACAGCGAGCCGCCGGGGTGGCAGGGCTGGCCTCCTCGCGGCTCGTTTCCCCCGGGGGTCCCCAAGGTTAGGAGAGCCGGGGCTGGCGCGCCCCAGCTTCCCGAGCGGCCGGGAGCGCAGCCCGGAGAGATCTGTGGCTTTAAGGGGCGCGGTGGGGAGTCGCTGGACACTCCTTATTTTGGTTTTACATTAAAAAGAGGGCGGCCGCGGAGAGGTGGTAGGTCCCTCCCCAGCGGTGCGAGTTGCTGCCGCGCTGTGCGTGGTCGCCTCCGCAGCGGGCACCTCCGCAGACTTAGCAAAAGGTAAGGTGCTCCCCGGCCTCCTCCTCGCCCCTGTCCGTGCCTGGGTCGTTGTGGGGCCGAGTTGGAAGCAGTTTCCTCTCCCTTTTCCTTCGCTCTTTGAGCTCTTATGCCCCTCCTTCCAGCGCCTTGCTTCGGACTCCGACACAGTTAGTGGGAAGTAAAGGCATTTATAAAAAGACTTTCAGAGCGTCCGCTTTTGGAAGAGCAGATACTCATAAGTCAGACCTGTAGTGCTTCCTGTAGCAATGAAGCCCCCCCCCCTTTTTCCACGCACAAAAAACAGGATCCCCCCCGCGCGGCGCCTTTTCACCCTTGAAAACGCATGACTGGGCCGTCCACAGGCACAGGTGACTTTTGAGCCTCCCGGGGAGCTGGGGGACCGTGGTGAGTGGAAGTGGTCATTGAATTGTTAACCGAGGCTGAGGGGGGTCTTCCTGCAGCATCTCACCTCTGAAGGTGACAAGGAGACGCCTGTTTGGTGTTTTAAGTTAAACATTCATCTGCAGAAAAGTTAAGGGTCTCCAGGCTTTGACAGCTTGCAAATCTGCAGCCGCCAGATATTTAAGAAACCAGTGAAAACTGACTGAAGTAGAATCTTTCAAAAAAAGGACCTTTTTAAAAGTTGGATCAAACGGCAGTGACTCTTGATACTGTCCCAAGGCATTTGGGGCTGTAGCTTCTTCCTGAGGCTTACCAAAGGGATGGAAAGATAGCGTCCCCAAGTTACTTACTCAGGGGCCATTACTGTTTTGACTCAAAATCCAGGGACCCCCTGCCATAGTATTCTAATGACTCACTTCGTTAGCAGGGATATAGATTGTAAATATATTCTTTAAAAGTTTTAAAAGTGAAGATGAGAACGCAGAAACTTAAGCCACACAGCATGAAGGGGTGGACATAGTTTTGAGCACAACAGGTGGGGAATTAGACTGAGAGGCATTGGGGAATTTCAGGTGCTGATTCTAAAAGGTGGGCGGTTGTCTGTGATGATGGTGTAGAACACAGACTGAGTAGCTGAACGTATAGGCAGCACTGGGTGGAAGTTTGTCTTTGCTATGGATTTAAGCAACAATCAGTCACATTCATAATGTGATGCCTTGAGGGAAAAAGGAAAAATCAACCCAGTTTGAAAAGGAAGTGGGAAGAGGGAGGGGAAGGAGAAGATAATTCGGGTTTTGTATTTTTTGTGTGTCCCTCTCACCTGTCACATTGTTCTGTAGTTTGTTTGGTTGAGATGGTGTCAGGCTACCTAGTTCAGGCTGGCCTAGAACCCACAGCAATCCTCCTGCTTCAGCCTCCCAAGTGCTGGGATAACAAGCTTGTGCCCGCCCTTCTGGCTTTTCTAATGTCACATTAGGCCTCATTAACGTCTTAGGACACTACTTCCTGGGAGAATGGGAAATTAGAAATTTCTCAAGTGCCTTGCTTCATGATTAACTTTCAGTATTCATCCAATGAAGAGATAGGTTGACAATGACAAGATACCAGTCTAGGTCTGCCATTCACTTTTCTTACAAAATATTTGCATTTGCTTCCCAAAATTTGGGGGCGGGCTGTACTGGGAATGGAGCTAGGCTAGTAATACTCATCACTAAGAAACAGCTCGCTTCATTTGATCAAGAGTGTTTTTGGGAGAAAAAAAGGTTTTTTGGGAGACAAAGTCTCCCTACATAGTTCAAGCTAGTCTTTATGTAGCCCAATTTCGCCTCAAACTTACAGCAATCCTCCTGCCTCAGCCTCCCAAATACTGGGATCATAGGCATGTTCCACCACACTCAGTTGAACAGATTCTAAATGTGAATCATGAAAATTTCTTACCTTCTTAACTGTTGTCTTATTAGAAGTTTGTAGGACTAAGAATTCAGCATCATTTCTATAGTTTTAGTGGGCAATATATTTTTTAATAGTACATCATCTATCTCTGTTTTTGAGAAGGGGATGTCTCACTATGGTGCCCAGCCTGGTCTTGAACTGCTTTTTGTACCGGGAATCAAACTCATGACCTTGTGCTTGCCAGTCAGGCCCTGAACTACTGAGTTATATCCCCGACCCTGGTCTTGAACTTCTGAGCTCAAGGCATCATCCTACCTCAGCCTTGGGAACATATTTTTGGTTTCCCACTGAACCGCCCTAGATTAGATTGCAAGGATTATGCACAAAGCAGTTGGTGATGCACAGGATGAAAATGAAGGCAGAGTACAAGGAAAACCCCATTCCGGGACACCTGCTCTACACAGTGACTCTAGGTTTAAAGTGGCTTAAGTTTTTTTCCTCGCAGGACAGCTCATTTACAGTAAACTCTTCTTTCTGGCTTACTAGTGATCAAACCAACTCTAGGCAATGATTTGGAAAAAGGCTAATAAATACAAAATTATTTCCTTACAACCTGCTTGAGTTTGCTTTCCAAGTCCTACTTTTCTTTTTCCTTTTTTCCAGGGCTGGGGTTGAAGCCCGGGTCCTGAAGCATGCTAGGCCAGAGCTCTGCCACTGAGCCGGACACCAGCCCCCAAATTCCACTCTTAAGCTCAAGATTAAATCCTGTCCCAAATGACAGAGCTTTGACTGCTACAGAAAAGTATTTGTCTGTTTCAAACGGGGGGGGGGGGTTCACCTCCGCGTCTAGGGTCCTGCCCCCCCAGTTATTCAGGAAAGGCCGTAGTGCTGGTAAAGTAGAGAGAGACTTCCTTAAAACTGGGTCCAGGCTCAGTGAAACCATGATCCTGTTATTTATCCTGAAGGATGCATAATCTTAACCAAAAATTACTCCGAAGAGGGCTTAATTTTGGGATTAAGCAAAATTTAGCAAAAGTCTATGTCTTATATGAATGTAGAATCTGTGTGCCAAACTTTGGTGAAGTTACAATGAAGTTATTAAACGCGGCTTGACGCACTTGTCAGAACCATTCCAAGTTAAAGGTTAGGTTGGAACGACCCAGCTCTCAGCCCATTAGGAGAGTTTCCCCTTGGGCACAGCAGCCTCTGAGTCTTGTGATGATGTGGATTTTCTGGTTGAATATCTCCGGAGGTGTGTGTTCGTCACAACCACCACCTACTGGAAGAATTGTTTCAGGGAACAATCAGGTACAGATTTGCCATCCTGACAACACCAAGGTGACTTGGGTGACAGGATAAGAGTGCTGGACCATCAGAGAACTGGTGTCCAGATGATAATAGGCCATTGTTCCCCAGCCACCTCAAGCTGTTTCAGACATTGCTTGGCCTGCTGGAAAGACTCAGGAAGTGGCCCCCTGGTGCTTGGAGTGTGTGGTCCCCAGCAGACTCCTCCTAGGACACTGCTGAGCCCAGCTCAGCTTCGTCTCCCTGTTGGTTCTGTTTCCGGTCAGTGTCTGTATCGGGCAGAGGAGTGCAGAGTGGGGGTGGGGAGGTGCCTTCCCCTTGGAGTCATTCTCACCCCCCCCCCATCTCTTATCTTTTGTACTGAAAATGGTGTAGAAAGGAACCTTCCAGTGATAGACTGTCTGCAGCAATAAATGGCCAAGAGATAGGTGAGCTCTGAATGTGTTAATACTGTGGAGTTGTCCGGGAAGCTCACCTGGGGCCTCAGGAAGCTCACCTGGGGGCTTGTGGTGCCCTCAAACTATTGTGGGTGAGCTGGCAACCTGGTGACCCTGGGGATTTGTTTGAGGCTCCTCCCTCCCCTCCCCATTGTGATTGGAATGACCTCCTGTGCCACAAAAGACACGCATTTGAATGAATCCAAGAAAAACTTATTATAGAAGGCACAGTTCCTTCATCCAGCTCTCTCATGCCCTCTGCCTTTCCTCTACTTTCTGCAGCAATTTAAGGATGACTGAAAAACATCATAGTGAGTTTGTAACTCACATGTAGAATGTCAGCACTCTGGCCAGGTATGGTGATGCACATCTGTAATGCCAGCACTCTGGAGGCTGAGGCAGAAGGATCTCTGTGTTCAAAGCCAGCCTAAACTACATAGCAAGATCCTGGCTCAAAAAACAAAGCTGCTTTCTTGTCAGTCTTTAGGTTTTGTTCATCACAAGAGCTTAGTATATACAAAAGTGATTTGTGGTTGGGCGTGGTAGATGTCTGTAGTCCCAGCACTGGGGAGGCCGAGGCAGGAGAATCTCTATGAATTGAAGGCTACTTTGGGCTACAATGTGAGTTCAAGGCTATTTTGAACTGCCATAGTTAAACCTTGTCTTGAAAAGACAAAAAGACAAAACAAAAAAGTTATTTGTGGGTGTGTTTAAATGCATTAAAAAAGGTAAATTCATGATAGATGACTGTTGGTGTTCCATCAGAGGTTTAGAGTGAGATGATTTTGGAAAGTAAAAGTGCCCTCTCTACCTTTCTGAAAACCATGTGGGAGAGATGGCTTTAACAGACAGTGTTAGCAAAGCTTGGAAAACCTCTTGTGTTTGGGGAAAATACGTATCTTTCAGTCTCCACAGCTATGGTTATTTTATTTATAAATTGCAGTCTGTGATATTAATCCAGATAACAAAATCTAGTCTCCTCTGCTGATGACCTTTGTCTCTGGGGACACTGCATGTCTGTGGTTCTTATCAACGTATCAGCTGGCCTGGAGACCGTGGGGGTGCTACTGCATGTTCGTTGCATGAAGAGGGGGGTGTCACTGACAGGTTTATCCTCCTGATGGTGCTTTGCCTTGGCTCCCAGCCGGTTTTGCTCCTGTTCCCTGAGTCTGAGCAGCAGACAGCTGTCTGGGAGCATGTGGGTAATTCACGCACAGGTGAGCAAGAGTTTCTACGAGTGCCACTGGGCAATCGGTGGGTGTCAATGAATACCAGAGGTTGTGCAACTGAAAAAGAGACGGAACTCCTGTACCTGACCCAAGAAATGCCCACCTGGGAAAATTACGGGAAAAGGTGTGTACTTTGAGACTCGGGGTGTAGCCCAGCAGTAGAGCATATGCTTAGCATGTGGGAGGCTCTGATTCTGTCCCAGCATGTGTGTATACACACACAGACACACACACACACATGCACAGGTATCTACTC